TAATTTCAACATAACAACATAGCAATATGCCTGATATGACATAAACACTTGTGTTGTCTTTTTCTTCCTTGATTTTGTTGTCTGAATCTGCAAATGTTGAATCATACATACAATCAAGACAAAGTATTATATATTTTAAACTATCATTTCTTACTATTTTCAGTGAAATTTGTAAATGATCTAATGTATTCTTGTAATCAAATAATTTGAGATCAATAGATCCATTTTGTAACAATTCATAAGAAGAATTTCTTATGACATTGATCACATTTTGTATTTTGTTTTTCATTAAAAAAGATTGACACTTCTAAACGAAACAAGTGATTCTTGTTATAAAGTATCATTGGTCAACACATTTTATTTCAAAACGTTTGATTCTTGATTTCTCGAGTATATCCATGAGCTAAATATCAATGCGCATGTGTGATGATCACGTGGGCACCAACCAAGTCCACGGGACAGTATGATTGTGCAGGTTGTGTATGTAAAATACAGTTCCTAGACTTGAAACTTACACTTACTGATCTGCGAACGGCTTAGGAAATGACAAACTTCAAATATAAAATTGACAGTCGCACCAGTCAAATAGATTTATATGTGTATTTAGACGATGCATATTATTCATTATATACTTGATTTATGTTATATGATATATTGACAGTTTGTAATTATTTTAAGTCAAATAGTACATGGCTGCAACATTTTCAATTCTGCCGTGTTGGGCTTTCTTTAGGGATTCTGTATTTATCTATTTTACATTACTATTGTTCTTCTTTTATGGGAACATATTTTCTTCATTAAGTTTATGATTCTGCTTAAGCCGGTACTATTGAGCATGAACGGTAACTTGCACTTCAGTCCATGAATAGGCTAAATCAAACTTTCAATTTTGACGTGTTGGGCTTTCTTTAGGGACTCTGTTTTTTCTCTTTTTTTTTAAGTCGACAAACATGCTGTGCCTATTGCATATATTTTACTAGCTCTAAAGTACTATGTATTAATTTTGTATTCATGCTCTTTCCTTCTTTGTTACAGCATGTAATATTTACTACGAAATTGAGTTTAAAACAATTTCATGAATTAGATCTAACTGTGACTAAAATTGTAATGCGTTTGATATTTACTATTTTAAGTTTAAATATCTTTGAAAATAATTTTCAATACTCTTTTAGGTACAACATGTCTTATGCATCGACAATCTTTTTTTATAAGGAACATTTACGTACGTGTTTGGACAGTAATATCCGGCAGACATATATCAGAAGCCGGCATGTATACTTCAGTGACAACATAATACTCTCTCGGGTCCCAGGACAGTCGGCTGAAAATGAGTAATGGAATAATTTAAAAATATTTCTTTTACTTATTTTTATCAGTTATTGCAATTGTAAGCGATGATGATTAATCATTGATATTGATTGTTTGGATAAAAATGTGACAATGTTAAGAAGGAATATAACTACTCTAAAGCATTCTTTAAAAACACAATATAATTATAGTAGGAAGGTCCTCTTCCGTTTTAGATACAACAAATTTTTGATCAAGAAATGTATAATTGTTTTAAAGCAATCTTATTGAAACATGTCAACATGTATTTGGTGATATCATTTCCATTTCATGTTTATTAAAGCGTACGCAAATGAAATCTTCAGTTCTCGTTTTAATCGAAAAATTGAATTTGTTATGACCGCACTGAGACATATTGTCGTCAAATTTCTCGACAATTTCTATAAAGTAACTGTAGAACATTCATACAATACAAGACAGAAATGTGAAGCTCGGAATAAATTTAAAAGTGTTGTCATGACAACACATTAGAGTGATCAAATATACTTGAACAAATTTTGAGACTTCTGAGCATTTACCATTGACAGGCTGATTGTCGACGATAATTCTCGTAAAACATTGACTCAACTAACAGTGAAATTATTTTGCTTGGGAAAATCATATTGTTCTGAACTTTACTATTCAGACAATTGATAAAGCATATCGCTAACATATCAAATAGGAGAAACAAGGAACATTTATATTGCATTGTAAAGGCGACCAGCAATATTTACATAAGTCAAGAATGAATACAATTAATAAATTCCATACTATTGATATTTGTTTTCCAATCTTTAAAAACATATTAATATTTCATGGCGTAAATGATACCATGCGTGTTGAGCATGTCGATTGCTAATCAAATGGAACCACAATTTAGAATATGAATATTTCAGATATCGAGATTCGCAGAAGTCATATACATTGTATTGATTGATATAGGTTATCATTGAGTTAATAAATATATTCCGTTGGTAAAATAGTGAATAAAATCCATATATTAATATTGTGACAGCCATTGAAATTACCACTTGTATAATTTAATCCATCCAAACATTAAATTCATGCATTTGAGCTAGTTAAATTGAATACTCATTCAAAGATTTTGTTGTCTTCTCGTTTTCTTTTACCTGATAATGAACTTATTTCTTTTTATCATGTCTATTGAACCTTAACTTAAAGAAGCTTAGTTCTTTGCGTCAGATAATTTAAGGCATGTGATCACGCAAGAAAAAGTATAATATTTGTCATAAAGTCTATCTTCTGTAGAGATCTAGAAATGTGAATATTGTTGATTATTGTTCATGGCCATTCATTTCTTAAAAATATTAGTACAACTATCACAAGAAAGCGACAATCACTGTGCGTAGACGCCAGCAGCATTCAGAAACATAGGACCGGTGGAAAAATAACCCAGTAGAGCACCGATCAGCAACGGGGCAAAGAAAGGAAGATATTAACAAGGGCATAGAGTGAGGTGGTTTGCGTTGAGGTGAAATTACAGAGTATTTCGAAAATCATAGATTTCATTTAGAATAATTAGTGTTGAGGTCCGGATCGGAATATCTGTCCTGATTGGACCCGCTCATTTGGCGGTATCGAGAGGTGCCGAGGCTCCCCTGTAATGTATCAAATTGTATGTCTACTAACATATACTCTTCGGGTATATCAACTGATTTTTAAATTGTTAAATATTCCACTTTACAAGAAAAAATGCCACTAAACTCTAGTTTACTCAAGCTTTACTTTTGTATAAATACTTTTTTCAAGCTTCCTAAATGTATAGTTCAATGTGTGTGTATATCAGCATAACATTCTTTTTTCATGATAAAAGAAACGTTTTCCCTCGTGTATATCAAAAACGTTATTAACACTTTTATACTCGCGGCAAGATTTAATGGAAAACTGTTTGAAATTGTTTATTGTTACACAAAGTCATTCCTGATATTATAAATCTCACTGATATAAGCTGATTTATATTCTATAGGTGACATTGTGCAAGAGCCAGTATAAAATTGATGATGAATGCTTGCAGATTTAATTGAATATTGACATGTCTTTAAATCCGTAAAGGCTCGTAACATAGAACGTGTTACATACATGAACATATTTCTCCCTTAAACATTGATGACATGAGAGATATAAACTTTTTTATTTAAGGTGGTTTGGAAAGTATGGATGCAGCTACCTTACGTTACTAACCTTTTCAAAAAATAAAGGAAAACTGTTGTTAATCCTTACATATCATATATCAGATAAAATCCATTATTGCATAGTTTACATATTAGGGAAATACATGCATCTAAACACACTTTCACGCTATTATGTTTGTGTTTTGTTTTAAAAGAGAATTTACGTTATCATTCTGTTTCTGAAGTCAAGGGGTCTTGGGTAAAATCATTTATTGATGTAACAAGTTAAACAATATACAATTTGTGTATAATATTTTTCAAAGATCTCAACACACCAGACTGATGTTCTTTTGTTCGGCCAGCATTCTCCATTGAAACATCTCGCTACGAAATAAATACGATGAAAAAATAACCCATGGGGAAAATAAAATAAAAATGAAAACTTTTACATTTACTAGATGAAATTCATCGGATTTAATCAGTTAAATTAAGGAAATTAATTCAAACGTTTCTTGCAACATTGATTTCTACTATACCAACCTACCAATCATTTATGTTAAACGTTTTGTTTAATTGTACATGTAGTGGTAGAAGTCCAGCTAGATAGACATGAAATAGCACATTTTCAGGATGATCTTTTTTAACATCAATCCAATAAGAAAACATTTTATCAAATGAAATCTCAAAAGCTTATAACACGTTACACACATATAGTATATATCGCCATAACGAATGTGAAGGGGCAATTCAACACCATTAGCAGCCAGTTGAAATTATATGATATCTTTAGTCTCATTTTCACTTACAATATGCAAATTGTGGCTAGTACTCATTCATTAATTAGTATTAATACATCAATTCAACATGTGATATACGGTCCTTGTGTTTGAATGATCTATTTATCTTGCAACATGCAACTTTAAATGTAATCGCATGGTTCACACAAAGCTATGTTTTGCGTAATGTTTATTAAAAGCTTCTGATAAGCATTTATATACCAGAAGAGAAGATATTTAACAATTCTTAAAGTAAGCTCATTAGAAGATTTATAATTACATTCCTTATATAGATAGACCTTTCTAAAATGAAAAAGTCATTTGAATAAAAAGATATGTTCTTTAACAAAGACTGAAGAAGTAAAATCTTATCTATTGAAATTATTATTTTTATAGTAATAAGGATTCATATTTTTCTGTTTGACTTGGTTAAATTGGATGCTAAAATGTTTTCTTATTATCCGCGTAGCAATGTCCATTTAAATAAATAAATAAATAGGTAAGTTATATGATATTAATTTTGCACATGAATATTTAAAAAATGTGTATGACATTATTTGAAATAATTGTGATGAATTGTCTACAGTCAGTCACAACACTATAGCAATTATGTAGAAAGTAAGCACCTAGATGTTGATTACATATATCGTCACCAAACTTGAGTCTTTTAGAATGTGTAATAACCAAAACAATATATACATAAATCCTTTACAATTATTTTGACCATAATGAATTATTTTGTACTTTTATGATTGAAAACAACTGATTTCATATATACTTTTTACTTGTGTTAATTATTTTGTCATAGTTATGAGATTGTTACAAGAATAAGTCAGCCAAAATTAAAGCCAGGAATTTCCTCGCATGTTGTCGTGTTGTACTCGCAATATAAACCTTTCTTACATAGAATAGTGGGCGGGTAAAGCCGGGAGTCAACTTGACATGCTTCACCCAGCCCTGAAATATAGGACGTAATTGTGTTCAGGCAGTAAATGGTCCCATTATAATGTTAGAAATCAATAAACATACGAGTTAGCGAAATACGTGCATATTCTACATTGCGAAACTATAAACGTTCAGAGTTAAACATACGATACATATATTAAGTACCGGAAGACACTTACAATAGGACACTGTTGTGTCATGAACATTCATATGACGTTATATACAAAAACCTTCATCGGAGAGATATTAATACTTAATATATAAAATAAATATACTTTATACTTTACATATACGTACCGACTTCCGTGAAACAGGCTTCACAACATCCACAATAACCACCACCCATCTTTACAGTTCCCTGACAATTTTCACGATCTACTACCTCACACTTTACCGTGTTACAATGAGGAAACTGACAAATAAGTCCAGTTGCTACCATAGCAACGGCTGATAAAACTACGATCAGTGCACATATTCTTTCATTCATCTTTATCCCTTTTTTCGTCTTAACGATGTAAAAATAAATGTGTCATACTTACGTATATACCTTAAAAGGTCAACTTTCGTTATTTCAAAACTGATAAGATTGTTTACGCCACTGAACAAAAAAAATTCAGTTCAAACACGTATCGAAGTAAAATGTGTTTAGACGGAGATAAAATGATTTATAGTATTTCATAGATATTAAGTCATTAATTATTTCGTAAAATGTTTTGTACTTCCCCTTAACATGCAATCTAAAGCTTTGAAGCTTTGACAAATAAAATGGCTCCTCGTTACCTTAAACAAATTTGACAACTTAAAAATAAACTGCTGAAATCATTATGTTATACAAGAATGTTTCAACTAAAGTATGCATACATTTCATGTTATACTCTTTACCTTTTAAAACAAGGATATAACATAACGCTTATTTATTTTTATATATAAATATATTTCTTAAATGTCGTAAATTGGAGCAATAAATATGAAGACATGATCGGGTCATGACATCGTAAAAAGTCTGATAAAAATGTTAACCTATATCAGTAAAACAAGCCCTGCAACACCGCAATATCAACCACCCATCTTGATAGGATGCAGGTATCTTGATCTACCGGTCAAAATGCACAGTTTGACAATGAGGAAAGTCCATTAAAATATGAAAAAATCAAGAAAAAAATTGTTACCACGGCAATTAACAACGGTATCAAAATATGTGTCCTCATTTGGAACCCTATAGATATGCGTTACTCTGCTTTAATACAATATTTTTATTCACATATTAGCCACTTTAAGATAAGAACCTATTTAATGCAGAAGAATCGTTGATAAAATGACATTAAAAATGTCAAGGTTACGTTATTTATAGTTTACTTTAGCACAAATTACTCAGAGGTCAATTTGTAAGATAGCATGTCGATAGCTGTCCATTGTTGTTATTATCCACAACAATTTTCATATATACATGTAGACATAATGGAAACTACTTCATAAGGTTATTCAAAACTTTGCATGGTTTTAGAATAGGATATTAGAAACATGTTAGAAAAAAAGTAGGTGGTTGACGGTCTGTTCTAACATCATGCAAATTTTAAGTTAACATAAATCTCATCAAACAGTTAAAGACAATATTTGACAATTATAAATGATTTTCAAAAGTTTTCCATTAAAACTTGCCTCGAGTAAAATGATGTTAATAACTATAATTAAATACACGAATACAAAGGTTTCTTTTATTTTAAAAGTCATTGTTTATATATATATTAAAATGTAATAATACTTTCCTATGAAAATAATCTAAAATTATAAAACAATTTATCCGAATGTATCACTAAATATAATAGTGGATAACGGTTCTTCGAGATCATTGATTCCTGTACTTTTAAGTATTGAAATTAAGTGCCGCTCAAGCCGGTGCTGGGGACCCATAAGGGATGTTGCATTTTTTCTTTATCCCTCGTGTACAGACTCAATCCAACCAAGTCCGCAATTTTCATGTTACTTTGTTGTGACTACTGATTTCCAGATTTTTTTTTTAAAACTGAAGGTTGCCGACAGTAAAAGGAAAGAGTTTTCCATATTTCTCTATTTTAGTCCTTGAATGTGATCATTGCAGAATTTGAATAGCTTCTTGCTTATAAGGATATAATAATGTTTAAAAGTGATGGAAATAGTTTTACAGTTTAATAGAATGTCTCATAATTTCAGGGCTAATTAACTACAACCAGACTGGAGTTAGTCTTTTTTATGGTAAATTATCATGTCGTGTCATATTTTCAAATAGAAAGCATGCGAATATATAAACGGAATGTAATTGTTAGTCTTCTGAAGATATTTCATTATTTAATAATATCTTCACTAGTACATAATTGCAAATCAGAAGTTTTAATCAACTGTGTTTACAGAAATAGCTTCTCGGTGCTAGGGGGCGTGAGTGATGTTGCACTTATTCATTATCACTCATGTACAGACTCAATCAAACCGAGTCTGCAATTCTTATTTTATTTTGTTGTGATTAATGCTTCCGAGGGATCACTTTGTTTCCAGAATTCTTTTTGTTTTGTGCGAAGGTATTCAGCTGCTATCTCCCAGTTTGGTGCACTCATTTTCAAAATTATTATTTTAGAAAAGATATGTCTCACGTTTTTTTGGTTTTCTCAATATAAGCAACAATATTTATTACATGTATCGTGTTTTTTCTTATTTTAAAATTTATAAAAAGAATTAAAAACAAAAATCTAACGAGGATGAACACAAAAAAGGATTATTTTGGACTTTCAGCGGTTTTTTTTTCAGATCGTTTCTATCATTTAAAGAAATTAACATTTTTACAACACGTAGTAAATTCATCGTCGGATACCCACGGCCGAACCATTATCATTGATTGCATGTTATGTGACATGTTTATCAATCGTGGGTATCCGACGATGAGTAAATTAAAAAACTATAAATTTGTTTGTAGAAAAATGTTTTTTTTTTTTTTTTTTTTGGTTTATTTTTTTTTTATTTATTGCTAGTCCAGCAAAAATTTACATTGATCGTTAAATGAATATGTGATTTTCGATTAAAAAAAACAAAACATTTAATCTAAAAACTTTTATCGATATAGAGGGTAGAAATTAACGCAGCTGGAATTGTTGACTTCATTTATTTATTCCAATGCAATTCCATGAAAACAAAATTAAGTATTGAATTCTTAACCGATTCTTTGTCTTAAATCAATATCTTGCAGCGATTTTACAAAGGTAGATTTCAAGCATTGAATGTAAGAAATTCCATTTTTGTTTTATTTTCCGAACGTGTTAAGTTTTCATTGAATTTATCTCATAGCGTTAATGTTACCAGATGTTTCAACGGAGACTGCTGGAAGAACAAAAGAACATCTGGTGTATCTTCCGAGACCTTTAGAGAATTCTCATACATATATTGTTTGAATTGTAACAATAATTCTTGGTTTAACAAACGCACTTTCACTTTGTCAGATTACAAACATATATGATAATAGTTTCAGCGGAATCTAGATACATATTTTCTACTTTCTGTCTAGGTGGCGCTTGAAAATATGTTTAGTTTAGTTTATCCTAATATTTTTTATGAATGCGACAGGAGCTTATTTTCATCCGATATTTTGTATTCAAGAATAGATTAATTGTGAACAAAATTGCATGAGGTAAAATCCATACAGTAATTTTATAGTCTTTTTTCCATGATCGACATATACTTGTATATGCTACATAACTGCAGATAAACTGTTCAAGTTAGGAACCACCTTAAATACGACCATGACACAACAGTTTGCTGATAAGCCTTATTTGATTAACGTGTAAGAAATGTATATTAATATATTCAATACTATTCTATGTTTACGAGCCTTTAAGGATTAAAAGACATGTCAATATTCAATACATTCAGCACACATATAATTGGTTATCAATTTTATACTTGCTCTCGCACAATGTCGCCTATGAAACATAAATCAGCTTCTGTCAGTGAGCTTTATAATATCAGAAATGTATTGTGTGACATTGAACAATTTCCAACAGTTTTCCATTAAACCTTGCAGCGAGTATAATAGTGTTAACATACACGGGAGAAAACGTTTCTTTTATCGTGAAAATCAATGTAATGCTGAGACACATTAAAATATAACATTACGATGTTTGAAAAAGTATTTAAATAAAAGTAAAGCTTGAGTGAACAACGGTTTAATGACATCTTTTTTACGGTGAAGTAAATTTGTTTTTTTACAATAAGCGGTTATACCCGGAGTTTAAATGTTATAGGATATACTGGATGATTCATAATAGGGAGATAATTTAGTGACCGTGTTACACAATAGAAGGACTGGGAAAATAAAGTATTACAATTAAGAATATGTATTTGAATGGAGGTTTAACAATTAATTTGTGCTTATGTATTCAAATTGGTAAGTAAAGTATGATCATTTGTCTGTACAAAACCATATATGTTTCAAAATATGCAACTCTTCAATGTTCATTGTGAAAGCAAATCGTATTAAATTAAATCAGTCGTTGAAGAAGTCATGAAAATATACAGTTTTGCAAAATGATCGTCATTTTGTTCGTGCATTCTAAAATATTAATATATTTTTTTATGAATTTCAATGTCAGAAAAACACAATATGTTATTAAGATAAATACGCCCTATCCATCCATCCATACATACATACATACATACATACATACATACATACATACATACATACATACATACATACATACATACATTTTAATACAGCCGTGAATATCTAAAATATTTATATTCTAAATAGTGGTTCCGCCTGATTCACTATCGACATGTTGAACACGCATGATACAATTTACTCCATGAAATATTAATATGTTTTTAAAGATCGGATAACTAAGATCAATGGTTCTGTTTTATATTTCCTATAATATATTTTGATCTCATTGTTGACTTAGGAAACGATATTCCTGATAATTACATGCAGGTCACCTTCACAAGGAATTATAAATGTTCCTTTGTTTATCCTGTTGAAGACAGGTATGTTATACATAATTATAATACCAAATTATACATCTATATACGCAGAATGACTTTATGATTTTCTCCCGAATAAAAACAGTTAAATTTTATGTCAATGTTATATAATATATAATTTCAGAATTCAGGGAAAGAAGAATTATCGTCGACAATCAGCCTGTCAATGGTAAATGCTCAAAAGTCTCAAAATTTGTTCAAGTATATTTGATCAATCTAATGTGTTGCCATGACAACAATTTAAAATTTATTCCAAGCTTCACATTTCTGTCTTGAATTATATGAATGTTCTACAGTTACTTTATAGATATTGTCGTGAAATTTGACGACAATATGTCTCAGTTCGGTCATAACAAATAAAAAAGTATTGAAATAAGAACTAAAGGTTATAAATACGCTTTCACCTGAATATACTGAAACGATATTCTATATTGAATATATCTGGAAGATTTTAACAAGATTTTTGTATAAATAATGCTGGTCTCGACTACAAATTGTAGTTGAAAAAGATTTTTTTACCTCTTAACTGTCGACTATACAATGACACCAATCTATTCTTCGGATATAAATGTGCTAAATCTCTAATGAAATATTTTAAGATTCTCCAACGTAGATATAAAGCTATAACTCTGCTGCAAAAGTTATTGTTTGGTTTTTGTAAAACAATTGCCTGTGCAAAAGAAATGTGCCAGTTTTTTTTATTACATATAGCCTTTTAAAACAATTATTATACATTCAAACATATTGCCACACTTGATGACTTCAATTATTTATCATTTATGTTAGCAATTGCAAACAAAGAAATAGCTCGTTTTGGAAAAAAAAACCGGATAAAAAATGTTCTTTTAAGTTATCCATGAAAAACTGCTTTATCATTATTTTAGCGCTGGACGGATGACCGACTGTCCTGGGACCCGAGAGACTATGGTGGTGTCACCGAAGTATACATGCCAGCGTCTGCTATTTGGTTGCCCGATATTACTGTCCATAACACGTTAGTATATTTCTTCCAAAATAAATGATATTCTAATTTTAGAATATTTTGAAAAATATCGTAATTATTATGCTAGTGAAGGTAAACCACAAAAAGAAAGGAAAAAGGACATTCAGTCTTAGATAAAGTTTGGTCACTCGTGTTTGTAAGTCACATAAACCTTTGGATGTCTTCTGATAATGTTTTTCATTACTAAATTTGGTATTTTGAAACTACTCACATTTATTAAACAGGCAAAGGATGAAGTGTATAGACTTTGAATGTTTGAATCGTACGGCAGAAAAATGTTTCCTTTATAGCAAGTACACTTGCCAGTCAGTTATCTCAGTAATAATTTGTCTTGAAAAAGTAACAAATTCACGATTCTTCTAAGAGCATATCGTTTCATCACTTCAAGAATTTAACAAATTAATTCAAGATCTTTTATAATCATTTCAAAAGCACATATTTTAATGTTTATATTTGTAGTGTGTCGATTCCCGAGCCATTCACTGATCAATTAGTGGAAGTATCAAGTCTAGGAACTGTACTTTACGTAAACAACGTGCAAGCACGATCATACTGTCCAGTGGATTTGGAATGGTTCCCACGTGATCAACACACGTGTGACTTGATATTTAGCTCATGGATATACTCGAGCAAGGTTTGACACCCTCCATGTGATTTGATTGATCAATTAAACGTGAATGATGAAATTTCATTTATAAAATGTCAAGTAGTTTAAAATTTCGTGTTTTTAAGTTTTGTATTTTCGTCTGGAAATTAATACTTTTAATATGAAATATATGATTATATCGCTTTGTGATATAACTCGTTTATTAGATCTTCCTAGTACATAAACTATTTAGTTTGCATACTTCTGAAAATCATGAACTGCTTTTAATGAAAAGTGTTTGCCATAACTCAGTTATTGTAATACTTTGTTTATTAAATTCACAGAAAATGATGATGGAGTTCATGCACGTAAACACGAGTACTACAGACATTCCTGTTCTTGCTGACACAGATCCAAACATAATTAACCTGGACAGTCATAAGTGGCAATTGCGAGCACGAAAAGCCCGTGCAGAAATCAATATGTTGACGTATGCATGTTGTCCAGGTAGGTTACCGACAATACTTGTAAACAAATATGTCAATACTAAAAACATGATTTCCTGTCTTTGTAGAATAATTATATCAAATGTTCAGACTAAAATAAATGAGGTAAAATGAATATATTGTCACAGCACATATTTATATTTACATTAATAAAATAACCTTTATATAAATAACTTAAATTTAACTTAATTTTAATGATTGATACTGAATATCAAAACAAAAGATGGTAAAGATAAATCATTTTATACTCCAAATAACATTCACAACATTTACATTAAGGTATACTCGTTACTCGTTTGTAAATCTAACTTTTGTTAAAGAAAATCAGAAGTTACTCATGTGAGTTTTATATTTGTTTTTCAGAAGAGTCATATTTCCAACTGAAGATTGCCATTACAATGAACAGAAATGTCTCGTTCTTCAGATGTATTACAAACATGTTTATTTTTCCAATGCTCGTGATTTCCATGATTGTACCTTTCCAGTTTCTATTACCACGAAAACTGTCATCAAGGCAAACCTTTGGTAATAATTTAAAGTCTTACAATTAACATTTCTTATATGGAGATATTTAATGTTTCTTAAAATTGAAATTCTAATCATTTTGTATCTTTTATTCTCATTTTCATTTATAATTATACTTGTATTTTCCAATGCAAGAATTTCATGTCGGTTTTATATGTTTCATGGCTATTCCTATTGAAATTATATCCATTATATATCGCTAATTCTCATTTTCAAGTACAAATGTAAACTTTTTTCCAATGCATGCATATCTTAAGGAATTTTATATCGGCTTTATATGTTTCAGGGCTATTCCTATTGTTTGGAGAATGTTTGCCACTGATAGTTTTGTCTTCTGAAATCCCAGAGCATTCGAGTATTCCCTTTATAGGTAAAGAACACATATACGAACATATCCTTTATATATATGTTAATAGGAAAATAACATATTAATCATTGTTCACTCTACAAAGCATTCCATCTTTTTGTATGAATATCGTTTTTTTAATGAAGCTAACCGCTTCGGTTTAAGGTTCCGATAATTCATTTTTCCATGCGACAAAGTTATCCAGCTAGCGTACAATATCTCTGTTCTTCTACATTGGTGACTGTCCGTGCCTGAAATGAATCTTGACATGGCACGTAAGCTAATATGTCAATAGTTAAACTTTAATTAGCAGTTCGATGTAAGTTCTAAAAGCCTGTAAACGAAATAATGGAAAAAAAATAAACAATATATGAAAATTACTACAATTAATATATGTTTACCAGAATGTTTAGTCAATATATGATAAAACTTTCCCCTTATTAGAAAAGTACCTTAGTCAACATAAACATTAGAAAAGACACAAACCTTAAAATATGTTTCATAAGCAGACTGTATACATAAATAACATTTTTAGTCAACACTTAAACCCCTTTATTTGTAAGATTATATACGAAACCTTTGCGTTATCTTTACAGGAATTATCAACATATTGTGCATTTTTGTTGCGATGTTCGCATTGATTGCGTCAATCATTGTTTCAAAGATATCTGATACAAATAGGAAACATTTACCTATTTGTCTACAAAATGTAAGTATAGAAGTGACATATGTTATTAGCATTCATACTTTTATAAATTTTATAAAACAAAATGGGTTTTATCAATCAGCTGTTTAAAACCTTAAAATGTCATTTTGACATACAGAGATTATTTTCTTCTGCAATGAGTTTATAATAAATATGAAATATCCATGACCCTGGAAAATTTAATCGAAAAGGGGCCAAAAAATTTTTTTTTAATTTTTTCCCAATTTATTTAAAAAAATTTCTTTAAGGGTAGGGTTTTTTTTTTTGGGGGGGGGAAGTGGGGAAAACTTTATCATAAGGATGGTAGTACCCTTTTTTTAAAATGACAAAAAAGTTATTTACTGAAGATAAAAGATAAATTAAAGAATGCAATGAATTGATCTATTTTTTCAAAATAAATTCAAACGAAAATCGTCGGGAATGGCATTAACAAGATATAAAGAAAATCCTGGTATACTAGTAAATGATAGTGAAAAACTATTGATTCTTTGTCTTGAGCACTGTTGACTTTTGCATGTTTTCAACATTTCTAGATTCTAAGAAAAACCACGTCACAAAAGAATAAAGGGAATAAAGGAGAAAGTAACTCAACTATAGACAGTAGGAAAGAAATAGATCGAAATGGTCTTTTGCCGGAGAACCATTACATTGAAATGGACGTCATAGACTCTTCTAATGAAAGGAACGGAGAAATGAATATTTGTAATGGAAGAACAAATGAACACAATGATTTAGCAAATAGTGGCAACAATATTGAAGTAACCGATACCATACTGAATAACGATAGAGAGAGAATTAATCTAATCTTAACAAAGATTTTGAGAGAATTAAAACAGAAACATTCATCAACAAATAATGAATTAATTAGAAAAGAAAACGAACTTTATTTGATGTTGGCAGCGTACATTGACAAAATGTTCTTTTATGTTTTTATGGTGCTTTCATTAATAATACTTATTGTTTTGATTATAATTTTGTTGGTGTAAAGTGTATTTCATAACTCATTAATTGATATCGTTTAACTGAAGTATCAGCTTATTTATTTTATACGTTCGTGTCATATCAGGCGGTGATATCAACATATTGTTGTTCATTTGTCTTCAAATAAAGTACAAAGTCAATACTACAACATGATAAACGTGCCTTATTAAATCCGATGTACTGGGAAATGCGTTCGTTGAATGCCCCCTTCCTTATTGATCTTTGTTTCCTGTTTCAAAATACTTCTCGGAAATAATTTAATTAAGTTCATAGTTTAATAACAGTTTTGTGCATTAGAATAATGTAACATTCGTGCCCTATCTTGATTTCAGATGATAACAGCTTGTTGTTAGATAATCAGTCTTGTAGCTGATCTTAAATAACTTTGCGATGATATGAAACATGCTATTTATTCCATGTTTATTTATATGTATATTTTCAATATTTTTATTAATTTATTTATGTGGATTTTTTCTCTACAGTTGGTCAGTTATTAAGGGCAAATGAATTGTTCCCGACATTTCATATTTCATGATGTTCATTTTATGTTTTAAATTGTATGGAAATGAAATAAATAGTAATTCAACCACATTCTTGGTCACACCTTCTTTATAGTCTATGTCAATTTATATTTGTTGCTTATGTTTATCATTTTTATCGGAGGACTACACATACAAACTAGAAATGTGTCATCATGCCACGGATGCCCCCGCATGCAGCCAAAATTTCAGATGGTGCATTAATTTTTTTTTTCATTTTAAGTTCAAAGCCCTTAAAACTTTTCAATGTTAACACAAACCATTTCCATACAACGTTCAAGGCACTGAAATTATTCAGTCTTAACCTTTAGAAAAAGCATATTGCATATTTGCAGCCAAAATAATGGCTAAAAGAATGAGTGCTGAAACTGAAAGTTCAAAATTTTTCCAACATTCAGGAAAGATAAGTTTGTCTAAAATCATTGAACCATGACCAAATTCAAACTTAAACTGCTTATTCTTAAGATGTATCTATATTATTTTCAAAGTGAAAGGAACATAACTCTGCCAAAAAAACATCAAACCCTGACCAAATTCCAACTTGACCTGCCCATTCCTTTGACATATCCATATGTCAAATTAAAATTTAAAATGTAACACTGTTAGGTAGATAATGAACAGAAACTGTAAATTTCATATTATTTTCAAAGTGAAAGGGGCATTACTCTGCCAAAAATCATTGAACCATGACCAAACTCGAACTTGGCCTGGGCATTCCAGAAACATATCCATATGTCAAATTTGAGTTGAATGTGTTGTACCATTGGGGAGATAATAAACGGAAACTGAAAATTTCATATTACTTTCAAAGTGAAAGGGGCATAACTCTGCCAAAAATCATTGAACCATGACCAAATTTGAACTTGACCTGCGCATTCCATTGACGCATCCATATGTCACGTTTGAGTTGAATGTGTTGTACCTTGAGGGAGATAATGAACGGAAACTGAAAATTTCATATTATTTTCAAAGTAAAAGGGGCATAACTCTACCAAAAATCATCGAACCACGACCAAATTTGAACTTGACCTGCGCATTCCTTTGACGCATCAATATGTCAAGTTTGAGTTGATTGTGTTGTACCGTTGGGGAGATAATGAACGGAAACTGAAAATTTCATATTATTTTCAAAGTAAAAGGGGCATAACTCTGCCAAAAATCATCGAACCATAACCAAATTCGAACTTGACCTGTATTTTCTCATAACATATCCATATGTCAAGTTTGAGTTGAATGTGTCCAACCGTTCTTGAGATAATGAACGGAAACTGAAATTTCATATTATTTTCAAAGTAAAAGGGGCATAACTCTGCCAAAAATCATCGAACCATGACCAAATTCGAACTTGACCTGTATTTTCTCATGACATATCCATGTGTCAAATTTGAGTTGAATGTGCCCAACCGTTCTTAAGATAATGAACGGAAACTGATGATGACGGAATGACAGAATGACGGAAGGACGGAAGGACGGAAGGATGGAAGGACGGAAGGACGGAAGGACGGAATGACGGAACAGGGTAACACTATATGCCCCGGCCATTACATGGCGGGGGCATAAAAATAGACATAAGTCGTATATCATGTAGTCCGTAGTTGGTGTTTATCGGCAGTTTTCTTCTTTGAATACAGTGACAAAATCACAAGTCATGCTAGAATTATGATGTGATAGTTCTTGGAATAATATTCATAGATTTATAATAGTACTTTCATATCACAAATTGTTGTATCTTAAAACTTTTTCCTCAAAACCATTTAATCACTATATCAATATATCAGATACAAATGTATTAATCTAATGTGGCTATATTAGTGTAAATATCATAACAAATGCCAATATATCAGATAAGGTTTTTTTATTTTACTTTATATGTGATTTCATACAATTATTCTCTTTTAGCATGCATTTTTATTGTATTCAAGTTTTTTTAAATACTTATTTTACGGTGGGTGGTGTAAAATAAAAAAATGCATATATAAACATGTGTATCGAATTACTGAAAGCTACCGGAAATATCGAAAGGTACTTAAATTGCTTAAGTTGACTTAATAAAGAAATAAATTAGTTATCTAAAGCAATGGAAATGATATAAACCATTTTTTTTTGGAAATTAAGGTATATTTTGTTATGTAATTTTCAACTTCAAATTATATTTCCTGATCATACTCTTTCGCCACACTTGTTGTTCAACATGTATGCAGGCATGCATGTGTTTTGACTGTTTATAATAAAATTCGATTTGAAAAAAAAGTGTTTTATGCACTAACTCTCATGTGTATGCATTTCTTGTTCTTAAGTTGTTCTTGTCTTTCTTAAAGTATAGTGGTCTAGGTAAAACAAAAAAGAAGAGAAGAATGCACATTTAAATATATGTATCAAAATACTGAAAGCTACCGAGAAATACCTAACTAAACCCAAATTATCTTATTTTGCCTTAAAAACATGAAGATATAAGTCATTTATATCAAACGAAGATGACATAAATCCAAATGTTCATACCAAGGGGTATTTCTGTGCCTTTAATTACCTTTGACCTCATGATTTAAAAATGTCATATCTGACCTTAACCACGGCTTTGCGTTTTCCTTTCCAAGTTATTGCTTGGACAAGAATAAAGATGTACGTATGAGGTGTTCAGACATATGTACAGACAAACTATCCTATCAACCTATGCTCCCTACTTATTTAGTTGGGGAATAACAACTGAAGAAATTCATTAAAAGGGTAAAACAACACTAAATATTGCAATTTTATACAAATACTCTATATATTCGTACAGTAAGAGTTAATGTATTCTTTGAAAAGCCTTATATATGATGCTTTGACACAACTGACTGAATTATTTTTATTGACAGACAAAGTAGAAAGACAAATCGAGGCATAATATCAAAATAATTTTAGTTTAATCATCTTAACAATATCCATACAGTTTATAATTATGATATACTAGTGTATTGCGTATATAAAGCAAACGGTAATTGAAACAAGCCTTCTATTTGTTCTTATTAGCATATTCCAATCCAAGTAAATTATATATCATATAAATGGAATTTATGGTGTAAAGCTAAGATGAAAGCAAAACAGTACAAATAATAGAACATTGTATCAGACAGATTTAAAGCTAGAACTCTTGAGACAGATAAATTTTAATATTCCAAATGAATGAATATATTAATGACACATTAAATATTTAATAATTTAATGTCCTAAAAAATATGCAGATCATTTACATAATCAGTAATTTTTTGACGTCTCTATGACGTATGATTTGATGTCAGTGCACATTGGTCACTTTTTAAGTTCGGTTTAGAAGGACGTTCTAGATGAAGTAAAGAATCTATATTGCGGGTACAAATTGTCTGACATTAGACTTTCAAACTGTTGAAGATAACAGAAAATGAGCGGAGTAGCATAGGTTCTGCACTACACATCACCTTGCTGGTGTGAATATTTGAGCCAAATCTGATGAAAATCTTACCAGGGTTAGGGTTTCACATGAAATTGTCCGATATTTAACCTTCAAGAGTGCTGGCATTGAAGCAGTACAGTGGTGACATATGCTACGTCATATTGTTGATGTAAACATTTGAGCCATGATTGAACTTATTTCTTATTTATAGAGCAGACATGACCTTCAGATGTCACCACTATTACCTTTTTAGCTCGACTATTTGATAAGAATAAGTAGAGCTATTGTAGTCACCCGAGCGTCGGCGTCGATGTCGGCGTAACCACTTATGTTAAAGTGTTTGTAATACCTCAAATATTTTCAAAGTCTATTGACATATGGCTTTGAAACTTTGCAGACTTGTTCATCATCATGACCCCAGCCTGTAGACAGGAGGAGATAACTATATCAAGCATTTTGACAGATTTATGCCCCCTTTTTAAACTTAGAATTTACATTCAAGTTTTCATACCACCTCAGATATTTTCATATACTTTTGACATCTGGCTTTGAAACAAGGCGAAATGTTATACTCTTCTTTGAGAGCATAGTAGGACTCTTTCCAAGGCATTTAATATAACTGTAACATGGATTTAAAGAAAACATTTGCTCTTTTGTAAACTTAGGAAATTTTAAATATCAAGCCTCTTTTACTATCAAGCACTAAGAATAGTCGAGCGTTGCTGTCCTACCGACAGCAGCTCTTGTTACCTTTAGTCAGTACAGCGACGGCATGGGTTATATGCATTGCCTTGCTGAGATAGATACATATTTTAGCCCAGATTTAAGATAAATTTTCAAGTGTTAAGTATTTTAGGACAGTTACAGTTTTCCGTTATGGCCAGCGCGTTTCCCCTGAGAATGATATGCACAAAGCAAGACGGTATGATGATAACAGTACAATGATGGAGTTCGACGATGATGAAAATACAACAGTACGATGGTGGCAGTACGACAGTATGTGGCCACATTACGATGGTGATGTTTATTGTATTGTCATACTGTCAAATCGTACTGCCAATATAGTACTATCACAATTGAACTATCACAATTGTACTTTCATATTGGCACTATCGTACTGTTGTATTTTCACGATCGTACTGTCACAAATATACTGTCACAATCATACTGTCACCATCGTACTGTCACCATCGTATTGCCACCACCGTACTGTCACAATCATACTGTCACAATTATACTGTCACTATCGTCCTGTCAACATCGTATTGCCATCACCGTACTGTCAGAATCGTAATGTCCTATTGTCACTATCATACCATCATACAATCGTACTGTCACCATCATACCGTCACCATCGTACTGTCACAATCATACTGCCACCATCGTACTGTCACCGTTATACTGTCATCATCGTACTATCACAATCATACTGTTATATTGTCATTATTGTACTGTTGTATTGTCACCATCGTACTGTCACCTTCCCTTTTAGCATGCCAAAACAAAATATCATCACAGAGGAAAACGTTGACTTTGTCATAAGAACATAATAGATCTAAAGGCACGTTTCTTCATCTGACGCCATGCTGAGTGACATTTTGCGTATGCTTGACAAGAAGGAGGCAGTAAAATGGTGAAGTGCGGCAAAACGATAGTGACAATACGACAGTACGATGATGAAGCACCACAGTACCATGGTGGAAAACCATCGTACTCTCGTAATG